TATGATAGGCATTTTATCCTTTATTGTTAAAATACTGCCTATTTTAGGATACAAAATTAGTTTTAATGGCGCCGGAGTCTGGATGTCTAATTATTTTCTAGTTGTTGTGTTGAAATAATGAACTCACCAGTTAACAAAGTTTAAATCTTGCCTATAAGATGAAAGTCATTTATATTTTGTACGCCTTATAAGTTAAAGAAAATCAATAGCAATGTTTTATTCGTGACTTGTATAAACTGGTTTTGTGAGTATAATAAGGTTGTGTATTGAATGGTTGCTGATCATGAGTTCGTGAATAGCTTTGCGAGGGCCAGTTGTGATTGATCCGGTAATGCAAATGCAATTTTTTTAAAGTGGCATATTTAAGTGCTTTGTGAGCACTAGGTGAAAGTAAGAGTATTTGAATATATTTAGGGATGTTGACAGCTATGTAGTTAGTTATAGTCGTAGTGCGACTCCTAGTTTCTCCTTGGCAGTGTCGAGAAGATTACTATTGTCAGTGGCACTGTCGAGAGCAGGAAATAAGTGAAACAAAGTAAGGTTGAACCTAACAAAGAGGAACACAACAAAACAACGAACTTGTCGGCAGGAAGCCTTCGTCAGCGAACAAAGGAAAGAAAAAAAAATATAACAATTTTATATATTTAAATATATATATATATATAAATATATATATAAATAAAGCCCTTAGCTAAGACGTAATGTCCGAGAGGGCAGTAAAAGAATTGTGACAGAAATGGTTGAATGATTAAATAGGGAAGAGGGAATGAAAAGAGGAGACATGAGTCCACTGTGATAGGTGGGGTGGAGGTACGCTCAAGGTGTGTTTAGAGAAATGACATTCATTACATGTGGTGTCAAAGTGCCATAGATAGATCAGGGTAAGCTTGTGTTCTAAATGCACTGGCGGGGTGTGGTCGTGCTAGTCGCGATCGCGCGTGTGGTCAAGTCAAACTTGCCCTGGTGGTCGCTTCGATTGAATTCTTTAGTGACGGGACACTGTTTGTCTTGCGTGATATTACGGAGGTGCTTAGTACATCTGTCAGAGATTCGGCGTCCTGTCTCCCCTATGTACGACATCTAACAGGGGTGCAAACAATGGCGTAGACAACATTGCGGCTGGTACAAAGAAAACCATCTCCTATCTGAAAACTGCCTTTAGGAAAAGCATGTTTTGAGTCTGGACGACAAAAGGGCTAGAGTTGAATGGCTGCGGCTACATGGCTTGGTCCCAAAGAGGAAGGGGTCAGCCTTGATGCGACTGCGCACAAATAAGTCTCTAAGATTTTTATCACGTCTGAAAACAATAAGAGCGGGGAAAGAAAAATCTCTCGTGTTCCTGTGTCAGTGAGGAGGATAGCACGGTGTTTAAGGAAAACACGTTTAGCTATGAGAATGTGAAGGTGATAAGTGAGAATAAATTTGTTCATGTCAACATTGTTGATCGGACGTTGCCTAAAGGCTTCAGCACGGATACTATTCTTAACCCTTTGAAGATCTGTTGAAAATACTGTCTCTGGGTAGGACCTGCATCGGAAGTAGGATATGGAAGTGTATAGAGAACATACATAAAGAAGAAATAGGTGATGTTTCTTTTCAGGAGGGATTATGATAGATACAAAGGTTTGTAAAGCATGGTTGGTGTCTGTTATGTAGTAAACTATTTTCCCCGTGCGTAAACTTTCTTTGACCCCGCATTAGACTCCTAGCAGACGGTAACGTTTGTTGTGGGCATGGTTAAATCACTTTGATGTATCTTATTTACTACCGACTTCAAATTAAACATGGTTATTATGTCTACTAATATCTTGTCGAAAGTTCTCGATTGTATTAGAAAAGTAAGGGCGTTTCTAGACGCGTCGGTAGACCCACATATATAAGGGATTGACAGGTAGAGAGAGAGACGGAGATTGATAGATATTTTGAACTTCACGAGGCGTGTATTATTCTTTGTGTACTTATATGTGTTTATTCACATTGATCAATAGTCATTGGCACATTGTACTAACTGTGTTAACTGTGTACCGGTACAAGATCTACCATACTTAAGTTGATGATTTGTCATTATATTTCTTTTGTTTGTAATAATATTATTGCTAAATTAAATCTTATTAAGTGTAATTGTTACGGTTTTGGATGTCGTAATTTTGTTATTGTATTTATCTATGGTATCGTCGTTTGTTAGGCACTTTTTGAACGAGCTAGAACTTAAAACAAGAGATTAATTTCTCACAAGAGAAGCCAGTGCGTAACAGTGTCTTTAATGCAATTTGGAAGTGAGGCTTCGACGGGCTGAACAAAACTAAATCAAGGCTCTCCGAGATATTTTCTGTGGGGGCAAGGGCATGCTGCGACGATGAGGCTGCCAGGGATACCGTACTTGTTTATTTTACGAAGTAGCTAGAAGCATGGCTTACGGAGGTCCCTATCAACGATGTGTGAGGCAGAGGGTGTTTTGGGGAGGGCCGATTCTGCAATCATATTCTTGTTAGTCTCTTTTACCATGTAGTTTTGTTTGGTGATAGGGTTGTTCGTCCTCGGTGTTAAAACGGGCTGTCTTCAAGTTGCTGTACAGATCGTTATCCCACACAATTGCAGCGCCACCCTGGTCAGCTGATTTGATGAAGATAACTATTCTCCTGCGTAGGTTAGAGTGTGCAATTGATTCTCTTTTTATAAAGATTATATTTACAGAGTGGAGGCAAAGTGATGTTCGTGATGTCATGTTCCGTGCTCCTTATGTACAAGTCTAAAGCTTTGGATTGGTTAGATGGTGGTGTCCAGTTGGATTTGCGTTCTTTATGAAAAGGGAATAACTCGTCATCTGGTATGTCGATACTTTTCTCAACAATGTGAAACTGATGTGTCCAAGAACGAAAATAAGGATGGGAATCCTAAAGTAGTTGGTAGCGATCGTAAAATGGTTTTATTTGAATAAATTTCAGACTTTTAGAGAGTAGCGATCTTTAGTCATTAAAGAATGTGAGGTCAGGGGGATGCAAACGACAAAGTTGTGGTCAGTGACAATTTAAAGAGGCACTGAGTTAAATGGTTTTAAGATTCACAAGATTTTCCTTCTTTTGTCTGTAGAGAGGAAGACGCAAAGTTACCGGTTAATTTGGTGGATTATCGTTCTAATTAGGTCATGAGGTAAGCGATTATTTATTTATTTATTTAGGCATTTTTATATAGTGCTTACCATAAAGCTCTAAGCACTTTACAATTATGAAAAACATGTAAACTAAGTAAAGTAAAAATGAGACATTAGGATAGTAACTACTATACTATAGAAACAATTAAAATGGTTACAAAACGAGTACACTTTGGCACGTGTTGGCCTATACTACAGGATCAACCCGAGACAGAAAATGAGGCAGGGCAAGGAGAGTGCATCACAGGTCTTAGGCGGACCTAAACAGATGGGTTTTAAGGGACATTTTGAAAGTGGACAAGGTTTCACAATGACGGATATGAAAGGGGAGCTGGTTCCAGAACGTGGGCGCATGGAAGTAGAAGGAGCGTTCAACGGTGATCTTAGGTTTGGTTCTTGGGATTGAGAGGGTTCTATTGTCAATGGAAGAGCGTAGTTGTCTTGTGGGGTTGTAAGGAAGCAACAGTTCAGAGAGATAGACAGGAAAGAGTGGGTCAGTGAACGAGTTGAAGCATAGTATTCTGGAATACACACGTTTTTTAAATGAAATACATAAATGTGACAATACATATACGTCAGTTATGATTAAAGGAAGAAAGTTATTTCAAGACAAATTTGTGAGCGATACTCGATGGAAACTATCAATACTATGATCGGCAGGCTGTTGTTGAGCTCCGTGAGTGCCCATGACGTCATTTGCGTGTTTATTCAATATTGGTGCAGGAGTCATTTCCCTTTGTTTATTTTATTGTTACTTTTCATTGGACGAAATGTCGTTATACCCATGACGTCATTTGTGTGTTTATTCAATATTGGTGCGGCGAAGGAATATTTTAATAACCGGTTGGAACAAGATTTCATGTGAATAATTAACGAAGGTCCACTTTGTCAAGCCATTGTCTTAAATTTTCTTTATCATTAAGCGGAAACTTATGCAGATTTATACCGCTGTCCTTAACTTGACTGAACAGCCAAAAGCCGAACATTGCCTAGGCATCTTGAATTACTAGTTAAAGTGTGTAATGGGCCACTGTTGTCAAGCACTAGTGTGTTGTATACAGCCTACCGGAAGTCTTACTCGTTTTTACTCTCATCACGTGACAAATCAATCGATTAAACGACTCCCATTTTCGCCGCACAGCGTTGCAAATAGTGTCATTAAGAAATTAATTATCCATAAATAAAATTTGTGAGAAAACTTCTAATTATGCGTAAATGTAGAGATTTCACAACTATCTAGTAAGCGAATCAAGAACCGGAAGTAATATGACGATAGGCTTGACTGTGTAATTTTATATAAATTAAGAATGGAGAACAAGTCTAATAAACATTAGTAATTTTCGAAATAAATTACTTTCCTACGTCCAGGAGACTTTTAGATACAAACTTGTCCAACTATTGAGGAATAAAATTTGAGAAACACATTCCAAAAAGGAAAAAAATGTAGAGAGATTTCACTGCTGCCTACCAAGCGCTAGTGAACCGGATATAAGTTCATTTATAATACAACGTGATTATTGGAGGTCTTAGAGAAATTACTATGTTCAAGTTTGTGAATTATGGCACATGATACGCTTATTACTGTGTACGTTGAAATGCTATCTTCTTCTTATAAGATTGAAGTTTGGCCATGTCGACAAAGTTGAGGGAGCCCGCCGTCGTGTCGATATAACATAACGTCGCCTCTAAGATTCTTATCCAGGGATCATAGCTGAATTTGCTGGACTAATTGAATTAAAAGTATCAAATAATTTAGCTGAGTTTGTTGGATTAGTTGCATTGCAATGTTAACTACTAAATAACAAAAGATTTAACTTAATGAACTAACAATAGTTTTAGAACATGTCATAGAACTCATTGATTGCCAAACGTGTTGCAGGAACTCAGGTTTACACATCGCTGTGACAAAGTTTCTATACGTGAAATCACAGGCAGTATACTTTGTACTCAAAGAGGTGAAAACATCACTAGAGAGCCTGGTAATATTCAACATCTTGGCCATGATGCCCGTAATAAAAGCATCTTCGTTGGGAACAATGGCCACATACGGGAACCTCTTGACCATCAGCTGGACTGCGGGGAAAGAGACGACATATGAAGCACCGTAGACGTATTTTGGAAAGATGTCCAGCGGGTAAACGTCTCGTGAGACTGCCCACCTCCCTATTCGCACCACGAATGGTTTTGTGTGGCTGTGTTGGCGCCCTACGACAAAATGTGTATGATTTTGAGAAATTTTTCTGACAAACTGAAGAAGCATCGGAACATGGGCAAAAATATCTGTGTCAATTTTAGCAACGTACTTGGCGTGAGGACAATGTTGAACAGTCCATGTAAGAGATGTAGCCAGTTTGAGTGAAAGATTTTTATATGATTCCTGAAAATCTGCCACTACAATATCCCCGTATAGGTTAGACTCTTGCTTCAAAGTTTCAACTTCCTCAGTCCTTAGACCAGCTCCGCCAAAGAAAAATGCCATTCTGACGATTTTATTTTGATGCCAGGACCCACCGTAGAGCAGAGACGCCCATGTCGTCCTGATATCCAGCCTTCTTGTTGTTTCACCAGGCATGCTCATTAAAATAATCAACATTTCCACAGGTTGCATTGCACAGATCGCTTCACACGATATCTTGAAGGTTGATGGAATACTTGAAATGAGCATTTGCTTTTTCTGGAAGTAGGTCAGGTTCTGAAAATAGCCAGAGAAGTCTGTGATTTCAGAGACCTGTCTGGACTTTGTGGATACATTTACTAGAACATCATCAGTGATGTTCCAGTTAGACATTGTGTCTGTTAACGAATCTTGGGTTCTATTTCTAGTACCACCGACAAGACTTATTGTTTGCAAAGGGTCTGTTGCAATCTCTTTCTCTTGGTATTTAAAAATTCCTCTTCTGTGAAATAAAAGTCTGTACATACGGCCAGCTGTCGACAGGTTGAATAAATTTATAACAACCAATATAAAAAGTCCGATGAAAATTATCCCTCTAAGGTGATGTTTGATGGTGAATGGAAACATCATTCTGAAAGTATAAATACACATTGAAAAAATAAGAGAGATCAAAATGTATATTTTTGTAGTCCCAAAGTTTCTTTTCAAAACATTATACAGAAATATACCCGTATTATGGTTAAAAGTTAACAAAGCTGTCATTGATCTAAGCCAGGCCTGCAAAACTCAAAATGTAATACAGGCCGTAATACTTCATGAAAACCTTCTTCGGGTCGAAAAAAACGGAAATGAGTGATAACTATGAGGAAAATAATAAGGATAAGGAATATATCGTTACATCATGGGCCGCAAAGTGGGTTCTGGCGGGCTGCATGTTGAACAGGCCTTGTCTAAGGTTAAACTGTTTTAGATGTATGACTTATGAACCTATTCCTCTGCATCCGAACGAAACAAGTAATGCAACGTTCCCAAATCTAAATTATTTGACTAAAGTTATCCAAAGATCACAATATTTTTTAAACTTTAAATAAAACTTTAATTTGGGATACTATTTTTACATTGTTCGCATTAATGAGACATGTTAGAGTTGATTCTACAGTGAGAAATGAGAGTAAAATGAAGATTCTATCATTGAAATCTTTGAAATATATACTGTAAGCTTATGATATGATAAATAATAACTCCATTTACTTGATCCAAGAAAAGAATGCGTCACAGGGAAGAAACTATCACAGAGAAAAATATATCACAAATGAGAATGTATCACAAAGGGGCCGTCCATTAATTACGTCAACAAAATAGGGGGAAGGAGGGAAATTAAATTAATTGACGTCAACAATCGGGGTTTGTTTATTAAAATGTTAATCTTAAAAATTGACTGGTTATAGCATTATTTTAACAAATTTAAGTGTTAATAGTTAGTTCTATATACTTTTTAGGCTTTTAACAATTTGAAATTTATTTAATTGTGTCTGTCTATTCAATGCTGATGGCTGGTCAGAAAGTTTTCACATTTAATTAATGCAAGAGAGATCAAAAGTTGGCCTCTTTTTGACTGTCGATTCTATTTGTCGCTAATCTCTAGTGTGGTAAGTGTCAAGGGTATGTGAATCACTGTTGTTATGTGTAGAGCATTGTTGTCATGTTTGATAGGGAAAGGATGTTGAGTTAGAGAGTTTACGTGTAGATGTATCATTTGTGTGAGAGTGTTGTGACGTAATTGTGTAATGGGAAGTGACGCGTTAGTTTTAGTGTTGTGATGGAAGATTGATGGTTGATATACTGGATATATTTCAAACATAGTTCATGGAGTAGTGTTTAATAAAACTGTTGATATTATCTATACCATTCGTGAGATCAAGTGAGAGACTTGGCCAGACAAGTAGTCACTCATTGCCATGCGTGGATAAGTACAACACAACAGATTTAACGGTTCGACATTGGGGGCTTGTCTGAACGAATAAAGGGTTATTAAGTATCATCCTCGTCCGAAAATAGACTCATCCTGTCTGAGGCTGGGAAGTATTATCGTCCAAACTAATAAAAAGCTGTGAAGTGTAGGGCCCGTCCGAACTAAGTTATGAAGTACCATTCCTGACCTTGGCTGTGCAGTATCAACCTGTACAGGGCTGTGAAGTCCGCTGTGGGAGGCACTCGTCGGAGGCTGTGTGTTTCCCGTCCGACAGAAACTCCTCTGAAGCTGTGAAATATCGACCCATCCGCTTAGTGAAGTATCGCTGCACAGCTGTGCAAGGCTGTGTGTCGCTTGTTCCAAGTGTTTGAGGTGCTCGTCGGAGGCTGTGTGTCGCTTGTTCCAAGTGTTTGAGGTGCTCGTCGGAGGCTGTGTGTCGCTTGTTCTAAGTGTTTGAGGTGCTCGTCGGAGGCTGTGTGTCGCTTGTTCCAAGTGTTTGAGGTGCTCGTCGGAGGCTGTGTGTCGCTTGTTCAAAGGGTTTGAGGTGCTCGTCGGAGGCTGTGTGTCGCTTGTTCAAAGGGTTTGAGGTGCTCGTCGGAGGCTGTGTGTCGCTTGTTCAAAGGGTTTGAGGTGCTCGTCGGAGGCTGTGTGTCGCTTGTTCAAAGGGTTTGAGGTGCTCGTCGGAGGCTGTGTGTCGCTTGTTCAAAGGGTTTGAGGTGCTCGTCGGAGGCTGTGTGTCTCCAGTCCCAGCTGAGGCAATCGTCCAATGCTGCGACCCGCTGGTTGGTGTATTCCACCGAGCTTTACAACGCTTTTGCTGTACACCGCTGCTGACGTATCCTGCTGCTGTGTTCCGCTAGTTGCTGTATGTACACCGCTGTTTGCTGTGTTCCGCTGTCCTTGGCACGAAGCAAATCACCACCGACCAGATCGTCACTGTGCGCTACCAGACCATCGCCGCACCTACAACCGGATCGTCTCTGCATCTACGACCCGACCATCACAGGGCCTGCTGCAGGGTCAAGAACGTGGCCCCAAATCGGACACTACCCAGAACACATTATTACTTAAAATCTGAGACACTCTTCTGATTTTGTGTGGACCAGAAAAGCCAAGTCAAGCCAAGTCAAGTAAAGTTAGATAAAATATTTAGATACTCTATTGTTATAAGGTATTAATACATTAATTATCTAGTATATAGTTAAACGCTGTGGATTTTTAGAACTTATATTTTGTAATATTTTATAGGGGTAAATAATTATAAATGGAAACAAAAAGCAAAGCAAAGAGAACCATATCGGAAATAATAGCCGAAATTCGGGAGGTGGGAGAAAAGGACCTCAGATTTACGGGACAGGAGTTAGATACATATGTAAGGGAACGATGGGGGGGGAATACAAGAAGAGGAGCGAGAAGATAGGAGAAGAAGTGAAGAAGAGGAGTGAGAAGAAAAGAGAAGAGTAGAAGATAGGGAACAGGAACCTAAGAAATTAAAAATTGAAGCAGATAAAGAAATTGAATTGGCCAAAATAAAAAAAATGGAGTTACACAAAGTAATAGTGACGAAAAAAGTCCCAATAAAAATTACCACTTACTCAAATGCATCCCTAAATATGACAGCAACAAGGAACTGGACGACTACATTGTAAACTTCGAACACATTGCCAGACAAAATGGGGTACCAAAACAGGAATAGATCACGGAACTACAGGTGAGGTTGACGGGGATCTACAGTCATTTCTAATGACTGGGGACATAAGGATAAGATTAGACGATTACGAGACAGTAAAACTGTTACTTCTGAAACATGGAGGATACAATGAGGAAAAGTACAGGGGAAAATGGAACGAGCTGACACCTCTAAATGATAACTTCAGGGAGTTTCATTCTAACTTAGTAAGGAGCTTAGATAATTGGGTGGAGAGCTCGAAAACAGAAAAAACGTTTGAAGGGCTAAAGGATCTATTGTGTCGTAATAAATTATTGGTTAACATGAATGGGGAAACTGTTAAAAGTGTTTTACTACAAAACCCGACCAAATGCGAGGACGTATTGCGCCACATAGATAACATTAAAGCAGCAGGGAATGACAAAATAGCTAAGGGTAACAAATCAACTTTTGCGGCAGGGGGTGCAGAACACTGGCAAGTTCAACGTGGAGTCGAAAGAAGAAGATCGGAGGAAGGGAGGTTAACGGGAGTTAAGGGAGTCTGTTTTTTGTGTGGACGGGAGGGTCACTGGAAGAATAATTGCCCTCGGCGACAGGAACATAGAGGGTGGACACAGAACAAGGGAAAACAGGGGAAGACCGACTGGTAGAAACTACAACCAGTGTGAAGACTATAGACACTCTCCCCCCATGCAGAGATACGAAACTAGCTGACTGCACAGTCAGGGCATGTCACGAAGAAAACAACGGTATAACGGGGATAGAAATACGCCTAAACCGTTGTGAGGGCAAACGCATTCAGCTGGCATAGCAGAAGACACGCAAGGGACTTCAACAGGGATATTATTTTTAGAAAAAGGGAAATTATTTGGGAACGAGGTTTCCATACTCAGGGATACAGGATGCACAATAGTTGGGTGCAGAAAAGGGTTAGTTCCTAGGCAGCAGTTTACGAATGTAAATTATAATTTGAGACTTATAGATGGTACAATAAAGAGTTACAATACTGCATATGTGGACATAGATACTAAGTATTTGAAGGGCAAATTTTTAGCCGCCCTGTTCGAGAACCCAGTTGCCGATCTTATTGTAGGGAATGTAGGAGAAGAAACACAGATAGCATTATATCAATATGGAAATGTAGTGACGAGAGCACAGAGTACAAGATAAATGGAGAAGGATAGGAAAACAGAAAGTATCATCGGAGAAGGACCAGTACCTGGATTCCCAGAAAATATGAACATGAAAGAGGAACAAATAAAAGACCAGAACTTAAATAAGTATTGGGATAAAGCAAAAGCTAATAGCGTGGAGCATACAAGACAGGCAGTCATCACGTTTCAAAGTAGAAATGGGTATCTGTATAGGGTATTTACCAACAAAACTAATAGTAAAGTTGACAGAAAATTAGTGGTCCCGTTAAAATGCCGGCCGATAGTGTTAAAAACTGCTCAAGAGTCGGCTTCGGCTGGACACATGTCCATCAGGAGGACAAAATACCGTATCTGTTCCGATTTTTTTTGGCTGAACATAAACAAAGAAATCACAAACTATGTTAAAACATGTCCTATATGCCAGAAAGCTCGACCTCCTGGTAGATATAAAACCATAGAGCTAGGACGGATGCAAGTCATTGAGGTACCTTTCCAAAAAGTGGCAATAGATATTGTC